TATTCTTTATCCATTCATCCATCGATGGACATTTGGGCTCTTTCCATTCTTTGGCTATTGTTGATAGTGCTGCTATAAACATTGGGGTGCATGTGTCCCTTCAAAACAGCATACCTGTATCCCTTGGATAAATACCCAGTAGTGCAATTGCTGGGTCGTAGGGTAGTTGTATTTTTAATTTTTTGAGGAACCTCCATACTGTTTTCCAGAGTGGCTGCACCAGTTTACATTCCCACTAGCAGTGCAAACATCCTTGCCAACATCTCTTGTTGCTAGAGTTAATGGTAGCCATTCTGACAGGTGTGATGTGGTATCTCATCGTGGTTTTGATTTGTATTTCTCTGATGATGAGTGATGTTGAGCATTTTTTCATGTGTCTGTTAGCCCTCTGGATGTCTTCTTCGGAAAAGTGTCTATTCATGTCTTTTGCCCATTTCTTCACTGGATTATTCATTTCCTGGGTGTTGAGTTTGATAAGTTCTTTATAGATTTTCGATACTGACCTTTTAACTGATATGTCATTTGCAAATATCTTCTCCCATTCTTTCGGTTGCCTTTTAGTTTTGGTGATTGTTTCCTTTGCTGTGCAGAAGCCTTTTATTTTGATGAGGTCCCAGTAGTTCATTTTAGGTTTTAATTTTTTTTTTTTTTAAAGATTTTAAGTAATCTCTGTGCCCAACATAGGGCTTGAACCCACAACCCTGAGATCCAGTGTTGCACACTACACTGCCTGAGCTAGCCGGATGTCTCCAGAAGTTTTTAATTTTAATGAAATACAACTTATCAGCTTTTTTTTTTTTAATGGATAGGGCTTTTGTTTTTGTATCTAAGAAATCTTTGCCTCACCCAAGGTCACAAAGATTGTCACCTCTGTTTTCTTCTAGAAGTTTTCTACTTTTATGTTTTAATATTTTAGTTAATTTTAGTATTAGTTCAAGGTATGGATCACAGCTCATTTTTTCTGCATATGCACATCTGGTTGCTCCCACCATTTGTCAAGAAGACACTGCCTTTGTCCCCCCGTCCAGAAGCAGCTGCACGTTCATGTGTGATCCTTTTTCTGGACTCTCTTCTGTTCTGTTGATGTAGTCGTCTACTTTTGTGGTGAAACCCTGCTCTCGATGATTATAGCTTAATAGTAATTGTTGAAATCAATAGTGTTCTTCCTCCAAGTTTTGTTCCTTATTGTTGTTCCTTTGTCTCTAATGTGACTTCTTTTCCTCTGGCCCTTTTAAGATTTTTCTGTTGCTGGTTTTGAGTGATGCGGTGGTTTTGGTTTTGATTATGCGGTGGCTCGGCTTATGTAGTTTTATGTTTCTTGGGGTTTGTTGAGCTTCTTAGATTATTAGGCTTAGACCCCTGTTGTGCTGATATTGTGTAGATTTTTAGGTCTGTGTTGTTTTATCTGTGCTTGTGATTGTGTTTGTTTCTAAGACTACAATAGAGTTTAAAGTGCATGCTCATAGTCACTGCCATATCTGTTGCAGGGACTCCTGGATTTGTCTCTCTCAAGCACCTTTTTATGTCTGGGAATATTTTTATTAGACTTATGTTTAAATGATAGCCTGGGCGTCTCAGTTGGTTGAGTGTCTGACTTTGGCTCAGGTCATGATCTCATGGTCTGTGAGTTCGAGCCCCCCGTCGGGCTCTATGCTCACAGCTCAGAGCCTGGAGCCTGCTTCCAATTCTGTGTCTCCCTCTCTCTCTCTCTGCTCCTCCCCCGCTCGCACTTTGTCTCTCTCTCTCTCTCTCTCTTTCTCATAAATAAATAAACATTAACAAAATTTAAAAAAAATAAATGATAATTTGGCTAAGTATAAAATTCTAGGCTCAACACATTTTTCTTCAATGCCATGTTGCCTTCTTGTACCCAGTGGTCACTGTTGAGTAATATGAGTCTATCTCTTGATCCTTCTAAGATGATTTACTCTTTTTCCCTGGAAGCTTACACAATTGTCTTGTCTTTGATGTTTGTAAATTTTTTTTAATTTTTAATTTTTGTTTAGAGAGAGTGCAAGTGAGTAAGCGAGGGAGGGGCAGAGAGAGAGACAGGGGGGTGAGAATTTCAAGCAGGCTCCACACCCCGTGCAAAGCTTGACATGGGGCTTGATCCCACAACCCTGGGATCATGATCCGGGCAGAAATCAAGAGTTAGATACTTAACCAACTGAGCCACCGAGGCGCCTCTGATGTTTAAATTTTATTTTAATACATGTAGGTGCACATTTTTCATCTTTCCTGATTACCATCCTATGGGCCATTTCACTGTAAGATTTTTAAACATTTTAAAAATATTTTTTTGGAGAAAAATATAAACATGTACAAAAGTGTACTTTCTAGTGTAATAGCCCCCTGGACTCATTGTCAGAGGCACAGCCCCAGCCATGTTCAGTCTTGATTCATTTATCCACACCTCATCCACTTCCTCCCTTCCCACATGATTTTGAAGCAAATCTCAGAGATTACGTTTATTTCTTTTAGATGTCATTATATTCTTTGTCTGTCTTTGGAAAGGATCATGTCCTTGTGTCTCTTAAGATAAAAACCATTGTCACAAAATAACAATACTTCATTAATATCAAATATCCAAATGTTCATATGGCTTTTTTAAATTTTTTATTCTTATATAAAAATTTTTTAAGTAAGCTCTATGCCCAACATGGGGCCTGAACTCAACCCCAACATCAAGAGTCACACATTCCACCAACTGAGCCAGCCAGATGCCCATGGTTTTTTAGAAACTGTTTGAACCCAGGATCCTCACCTCCGAGGTGGTGGAGTCCTCACCTCCGAGGCTCCCTGAGGGTCGGGTTAGATTTTCAGTTGTCCCTAAGACTTCAGAGATGGTGCTGTGTTCTCCCACCAGGAGGACAGCATGCCTGATTCTCTTCCCTGGGATGCTGGTGGCCAGTGATACCCAGTTCCCAGATCCATGCAGTCATGAGGTCACAGCATGGGGAAACTGGTTCTGTCATCCTCCACCCAGAGGTTGGAGTACTTCCATACAGAGAAACTCCACCTTGCTTGCTACATGGTACAGGAGAGCCAGGATAAATACCCAATTCTTTCCATTTATTTACTCCTCAGAATAATGAGTTGGGTCGCTCGCATCCTCCAGTGGCAGGTGATTAATTTTGCTTCCTCTTGAGGGGCACCTGGGTGGCTCAGTCGGTTGAGTGTCCAACTTCGGCTCGGGTCATGATCTCACGGTGTGTGAATTCAAGCGTCGCTTCGGGCTATGTGCTGACAGCTCAGAGCCTGGAGCCTGCTTCAGATTCTGTATCTCCGTTCCTCTCTCTCTGCTCCTCCCCTGCTTGCACTCTGTCCGCCTCTCTCTCTCTCCCTCTCTCTCTCTCTCTCTCTCTCTTTCTCTCTCTCAAAAATAAATAAACATTAAAAATTAAAAAAAATTTTTTTGGCTTCCTTTCTGGGTTTTTTGTTTTTGTTTTTTTTAGCGTTGTATTTGGTATTGTGTATTCTAGCATTTATCCTTGTTGATGTTCAAAATGTTCCATCCTTGGCCATTGGGAACATCTTTAGATTGGCTCCATGGCCACCTGAGCTATTTGACCAAGTCCCCACTGGCTGTTGCAACAAGATGCTTCAGGCTCATCTGTGCATTTCCTGCCCCTGCCCTACACTCTGCCGTGTCTCAGCGTCCTTGAGGGAACATGGTATTTGAAGGCCACATTCTGGGGGCAAGGGTTACTCATTGCTAATGGGCTGGCACTGTTTCTAGACATTTTTATTGGACAGTCTGCAGCATTATCGTTAAAGACAAAATGCCACATTTCCATTCAGATTCACGACTGCAGAACTACCTCACTGCTTCTGTGTTTGGATCTTCTTCCTCATGAGTGTCTTGGTTCCCAGGGCCAGTAGCCTCACAGTGTGATTGCAGAAGGAGTTTTGTTATTTCTCATGTGTTGCTGCTTAGTAGCTAGCTCTAGAGGAACAGGCTAAACAGTCTAACTGCTTTGAAGTCCCTTGTAATAGTTGAGGCCAACAACTGGAGACGCGTTTAGGTTTGTTTCATTGTGTTTTTAATTAGGGCGTTTCTTTTTTTATATAGTTTTGATTTATAACTACAAAAATATTTATGTGGGTCCAAATCTACAAATAAAGGAACATTTAAAGGAATCTAGGACTGATGTCATAGGCCAGGCTTAGGTGTCTCTTTCACACTCAGTGAAAACAAATAAGAATATGAAGCTTAATTTTGTCACTTCATAAGCAATCTTGTAGAAAGTGTCTTTACTGCTCTTGTTTTTACATAGATGTTCACACTGAAGCGGTGCAAGCAGCTTTGGCCAAATACAAGGAGAGGAAGATGCCTATGCCTTCAAAAAGACGTTCGGTTCTTGTCCACTCGTCGGTGGAGACGTACACACCTCCAGGTATTGATAGACCGTGTTGGGAATGGCTTCTGTAGATGTGACACAGCCCTGGTGTCATCACCTTCCTTTCCCCTTGAGTTGGAGTATCCTCCTGACCTGTATGCAGTAAAGATTTGGAAAAACTGGAGATTAAAAACGTTTGCATATGTGCAACATTCCTTACTGAAAATCTGTGGTCTACACAGTATGGCTTGTACCCAAATCGGTACTTGTTTTCTATAGGACTTTTGGGTGTATTTTAATTCTTTTACTAAGATGCTATTTGTGCCTTTAAGTAAAGAGGGGAACCTAAAATAAACACTTACTAGAATACTAAAGTTCCCTGATTTAAGAATTGTAAAATTATTTTCATCTTATTAATGATTATTTACTATATCATTACCAGGCCTTAAATGGGAGAGTATAGGACAATTCGGAGGATTTAAAACATTTCTTCTATTATTGTTTTGTTGTCATTACCATTAGAAATGAAAACTTTCACCTGGAGTTTCTCTTCAGCAGCAGTGTTGCTAAACTGCACCAGGTGTGGGCAGTTGTGTGGCGCCTTCTGCCACCTCTGTTGTTATTTAAGTCGTGAAACTGGCAACACGAGTTTTTGGTTTGATGACATGGTGAAAACCAAACACACCAGAGATACAGGATAATTTAGTGGTTTTGGTAACACTTCCTTTCTACAGAAAAGAAAAAGTTCATATTGTTGAAAAAAAATTGTAGAAATAGCTGTCACATGTTTCTACCAAATATAATTATACATAATAGCCAATTTTAAAAAACTTTTTAATAGTTGCATAACCATAATAAAATGCACAGCTGAGGTGACTTGATAGAACCTTTATGAGCAGTTAGTTTTATTGAGTGAAGCAGGTGTGTTGGGGAAGGAATTCTTTCCAGAGCTCATTGTTGCTGCCCCTAAGAGGGTGCAGATGGACGGAGTGAGGCCCCATCACCACTGCACTGACCTGGGCCATGTGTGAAGGTTGTGTGGGGTGTTCACTCAGATGGGCACTCGACACTTGGGGTCTTCTTTGATATTTGGGACCCCACCAAGGAATGAGCTGAAGCCACTCCCAGCGTGCGGTGCCCCCGGACAGTCCTCTTGGGGAAGCTGGGGTCGAGAAACCAGTTTCCCAGGTAGGGCTCCTTGGATCTTATAGTCGGTCGGGCAAACGAGGGCTGAGATGACCCCTTGGCCAGGCAGGGCATAGCGGTGCAGGTGCAGGGCATAGCGGAGCTTGCCATGTGCTGGCCTGGGAGACTCAGGTGCCAGTGTGGGGACTCCACCCCCCTCCCCGACTCATCCCTACATTATGCCTGTCGTCATTATTTTAACCACAGACACGTCATCTGCCTCAGAAGATGAGGGCTCTTTACGGCGACCCGGGCGACTTACCTCCACTCCGCTCCAGAGCCATTCCAACGTCGAGCCCTGGCTCGACCGGGTCATTCAGGGCTCGTCCACCTCATCCTCTGCATCCTCCACCTCATCTCACCCGGGAGGGAGACCCGCCGCTGCTCCCAGTGCCGCCGCCGCCACGCTCACAGGCCCCGTGGCCCACGCCCACATAGGTCAGTAACGAGCTGCCGCGGCCCCTCCAGGACAGGGGTGCCCCTGCGCCCATCAAGACCCACCTTCTCTTTTTCATCTGGAAATGTCTTTTTGGTAACAAAAGTCGTTCTTGATGCTCCTGTGGTTTGGTGATCCCAGACCCTGTGGTGCGTTGGCTTCCCCACAGGTCCCAGAGGTGGTGGTGTTCCTTGACGTCGTGTCTCCACCTTTTGGCAGGTGTAGGGTGGATGGTCCTTATGCTTGTTCCTGATAGCCACCCTTAGCCCCCTGCCACTACATTGTCTCTGCCTTTGCTCTTTGCCTTGTGTGCACAGCTGTGGAGCTGTCAGTTGCCTCTGGGGCAGGGGCCTGGGGCTGCGATCATGGTCTGGCCTTTCTTCCTCCACATACCAAGTTAGCCCCTCAACCTGAAAAGAGAGGTCAGGCAAAGCTAAATCATACAGATGTGTAGATCTTTTCTAAGTCATCCAAGTCTTTCAATTACATAAATCTTAGAAAGGAACAATTGCAGACCTTTCCTCATTTGAAACCCTGTTTTCTAGACAACAACATTAGCATGGTTGGTCGGATGTGAGCTGGCATGCGCAGCTCGTACCTTAACAACAGCATATTCCTCACGTGGTGCCGTCAGTATTGTCGCAGTTAACTTCTCAACCCTTCTCAGCCCCCCTCTTTTGTAGATATGGAAGGAAGACAGAAAGATTGTAACTTGCCTGGGCTCACACAGCTGGCCTAGCGGTGAAGCCAGGGCTGATAAAGTTTTCTTGATTCCTATTCATTTTCTTTGCTGTTAGCTGTTCTGCTAAAACTGGAATGGTGCAGCAGCCATGCACCCATGATAGGCTGCTGTTGTCGGTGGGGTCCTGTAGGCTGAACAACCACCCCCCTCCCCTTCCAGCAGGTGTGGGCTCAGAGCCTGAGCTGCCTTGGTGTGAAGTCTTGGTCATTGGGCTGGGCTGGGAGTAAATTGGATGGCATCTCAGCATCATCTGTGGACACATCACCGACGCTCTTCACTTTTTATTTGTTGCATCAGTGCAGGAAACCTGCACATTTCTGTTGAGCTTGTGTCTTATAACCGTGACGTAGCCTTCCATGAGAACCCACGACACCTCATCCTGCTTCCGGCACACAGGGAGGCGGCTGCTGAGGTCACTGGGTGGCAGCAGCTGGGGCTCCAGAAAAGGCCCCTTTGGGAAACAGCCGGCCCCGGCTGTTCCTGCAGCTCTCCTAGACGCCCTGTGGAGGCCTAGTGCTCACTGCTCACCCTTCCTCAGGCAGGTTTTCAGGGGATAGCTTATAAAACAGCTTTGGCACGGATACGTTTTTTTCTCTATCACAGTGCTTTGACTTATTGGAAATACACCGATATCTCCAATGTGAGAAAAACAGTAGTTTTTGAATGTTCTTTCATCTTATTTCTGCTACCTGATCTCTGTTCTCCGTGAGATGGTGTAGGAAGGTAAAACTGTATTAGCCGTTGCCGAGCTGTTGGAAACCCTGCTTCCTGGTGGGTTGGAGATAAAAGCGTATCTAGCATGAGAAACTGGCCACAGTTCACAGTGTGTAACTGGGCAGCCCTTGACTTCCCCGCGGTTGTGTGGGGTCTTTTAACAAAGCACTTAGCTGTAAGGAGTGTGTGTTCTGTGAAAGGCCCAGGTGTGAAGGTTTCTGCGGAGATGTGTTACGGCTGTGGATGCAGGATCCCTGGCTTCGGCAGGTGTGGCTGCGACCCTCTTTTCTCCCATCCCATTCACATGGCCTCTCATGTACATTATGTGATCCATTCTTATAAATTTAAAAAATCTTAACTGCGGATTATAGCCTTCATATGCTAAATGTTCACTGGATATAGTTGACTTGAGTCCCTAGATCTGAAAATACTTACCTTCGCTCTCCTTATTACAAAAATCATCCTTTTAGTTTTTAGCACTGGAGAATTCTTCAGTTGGGCTAAGGAAAGTGATACAAAAAGAAGAAGAATGTATTAGGTAAAAAAAATTTGAGGGACAATATATTAGTTTAAGGTAATTTGTAAAAATATGTCATCTTCAATTTTAGAGTAAGGAAGTCAAATCCATAAAACATTGGGGCACAGCTATAAATACCTATATTTAGAAGTAGTATTTCCAGTTGTAGTAGTTCATTTAAAAAAAATTTTGTTAATGTTTATTTTTGAGGGAGAGAGAGAGAGAGAGAGACAGAGCACGAGCAGGGGAGGGGCAGAGAGAGAGGGAGACACAGAATCTGAAGCAGGCTCCAGGCTCTGAGCTGTCCGCACAGAGCCTGACGCGGGGCTCGAACTCACACAGGCCGTGAGATCGTGAACTGAGCCGAAGTCCGACGCTCAGCCGACTGAGTCACCCAGGCGCCACTATAGTAGTTGATTTTTATTTTGAATGTTTGTTTATTTTTATGTAGCGATTTTACAACTGCTTTGTAGTTGAGATTACCATTAATGCCTTTCTTCATGAATATTGTTAGAATCATTTATTCTTTTTGCTAGACATGGAAGGGTAGGGAAATTTCTTTCTACATGGAAAGAACTTTGTGATAGGCAAACTTTAAAATGCTAATTTCATCAACATCATGCTTTTTCAAGGGTTGTGACAACTCTGTCATTAAATTAGATTTTTCCAAATGGTGTTTTCTGCTGTGTAAATAGTGAGTTTGGGTTTTGTTTCCATATAATTTCATCTTTCTATATATTTAAAAAAAGATTTTAGTCTGCATTCTGCCTGGGAAATGAAGTGATAGGTAAGCGGTAGGAATTGAGACGTCAGAAGCACCAGAGTGGGGCCTGCGGTCGCAGGAGCACGCGTTACAAGCCCAAATGGACCGCGTGTCTGTCCCGATGGCCCTAGCGCGGGTGCCACACTCACGCTCACGCCTCAGCAGCCCGTAGTCAGCCAGTGTTCCGACAGATACATGTGCCATATGATAAAGACTTAACCCCAAAATGTGCGTTCAGACAATAGAAGGGGTGATTTTAAACATTTCTGCAGTTTAATGTCATTTGTCTTTAACCATGATGTTAACACCTTCTGCTCTGAGAACTTGACTGAAGTCTCCTAATAGTGAGATGTGTTGATCTGGCAGGGGATAATTTTTATCTTTGTAGGCTTATTCTTTGGAGCCTGTAAAGGTCTTGTGTCTTTGTGGCATCCAACATACTTTTTGGGGGAGTTGGGGATAGTTTTTGGAACCTGGCTATTTTTTTCATAATACAACAAAAATGATCCAATGACAATTGATTTGAAATGTGTTTCTGCTTCACTGAAATTTCTAACTAACTCAGTCCTGTGAAAGGCAGTCTCACCTGCCCTGTCAGAGCACTGTCGTCGGGGGTTCTGGCCGTGATCCCTTTGAGAACCCAGCAGCCCACGTGACACAGCCTCCCATGGGCCACGTCTGGGAGCTCAGAGTTTACAGGGTCCCGTTTTGTCTTAGTCAACCAGAAAAAAACAAAATTAATCAGAATACCACATTCCTTGCCTTGAGCTCAGCTAGTGAAGCTTTAGTTCACTGCGGTTTAAAGAGCAGCTCAATACACTTTCGAATCAATAGCCACTTTTATTTGGGGTTTGTTTTTCCAAAGCAGATCTGCACTCTGCCCCTCCTGACGTCACCACGGGTCTTGTGGAGCTTCCGCACTGTGAGCGTCCGCAGCTGGCTTCTGTGAGAGGCGTCCCTCGGGGCTACAGCGGCAGCGTCCTGGAAACTGCGGGTGGTGAGCACGCCTCTCTTTCTCCTGTGGACAGCAGAGCACAGTCTTTCTCTTCAGGGAGTGAGCCTCGCTTTAGTGAATTTGCTTAAGCAAGCTTGAGCCAGCCACTAGTTACAGTCCTTCAGCACGTGTGAACTGAGGCCAGTGTGTGTGGTGGCTGTGATTACAGGGAGCATCATGGGGAGAAATAGTCGTGAGTCCCTGGAATTGGGCAGAGAGGGAAGAAGCGTAGGGAGGAGAAAACCTCCACATTTAAACTGGATCCACAAGGAGTTTGGGTCTATAAAACAGGAGGAAAACGAGAGACCGTGGGCAGCCTCTTTGTTGGACGCCGTGTGGCCTTAGTGTGAGAGCACCCTGCCCCTGACACACCAGTGCCTGTGCCCCCTGTGTGCACAGTCTGAGAAATGGGCACAGCAGCAGTCAGGGTTTCAGACGTGCAGGCCGGAAAGGCCTTGATCTTCACAGCGTCCTCATTTATACCATTTCCTTTTGAAATAGTTTCCAGTGTCTTTTATCCAAATCATGTGAAGGTTTTTTTTTCCCCAATGTATCAGATTTGAATTGCAGGAAACTTCAGACGATCTTAGATCTAAGGCTTTAATGTGTGTTTGGATATTCCTAAGTGGCAGATCAAATTTTGTCAAGGTCTTTTACCTCCTTATCCAGATGCAACAGGAAAATACTGAGTCAACATGAAGCCGGCTATTGGTTACGTAGATTTTTTTTATTTGATTATATTTTTTAAAAGTTCAAGAGCTTAGTTAAGTGATAACTGACATGTGATCAACTGCACATATTTGAAGCATGCAATTTTATAAGTTTTACTGTTAAAAAATTTTTTTTAAGTTTATTTATTTCGAGTGGGGGGAGAGAGAGACAGAGGGAGAGAGACAGAGGGAGAGAGAGAACGAGGTGGGGAAGGGGCAGAGAGAGAGGGAGAGAGAGAATCCCAAGTAGACTCCAGGCTGTCAGTGCAGAGCCCAACATGGGGCTCAGACTCACAAATTGTGATCATGACCTGTACTGGGATCAAGAGTTGGACGCTTAATCGACTGAGCCACCCAGGCATCCCTAATTTTGTGTTTTAAGATGTATGTATACCTGTGAAACCATTCTTGTGATCAAGATAGTGAACACATACACCCAGCATTCCTAAAAGTTTCCTTGTGTCCCTTTGTAATACCTCCCTTCTACCCATTTTGGCTTCCCCCATGCTTTAGGCAACACTGATTTATTTTCTGACACTATAAATTAATTTGCATTTTCTGGAATTTTACAGAAATAGAATCATGCAGTTTTTACTCTTTGTTATATGGCTTCTACTCTACATAAGTATTTTGAGATTCATTCATGTTCTTGGATGTTTCAGTAGTTCGTTCCTTTTACTGATAAGTAGTGTTTCATTTCACGGATGTACCACACTTTATCTGTCCACCTATTGATGGATATTTGGGTTGCCTCCAGTTTCTGGCTATTACAAATAAAGCTGCTATGAATATTCTTATACAAGTTTTTGTGTAGAAGTATGCTTTCATTTGTTTTGGGTCAATACTTAGGAATAGAATGACTGGATCATATGCTTAACTTTCTAAGAAATTGCCAAACGGATTTCCAAAGTAGGTGTACCATTTCACATTCCTATCACGGGTGATGAGACGTCTGGCTCCGCTACATCTTTGCCTGCCCCTGGGATTCTTGGCTTGTTAATCTTAACCACCCTTCCAGGTGTGTGGAGGTGTCTGCTTGTAGTGTTCATTAGCATCTCCCTAAACACTGAGGAAGTGGGGCATCTCTTCATGTGTTTGTTTGCCATCTGTGTGTCTTTTTAGAAGCGTCTGTTCAGATCTTTTGCTTATTTTTTTTAATGTGATGTTTTCTTAGTAAGTTTCGAGAATTCTTTATATGTTCTGGATTCAAGTTCTTTTTTTTTTTTTTTT